TCTCTCTCTCTCTCTCTCTCTCTCTCTCTCTCTCTCAAGTCAATAAATAAAATTTTTTTACAAAGAAGGTTTTATTGAAACACATCCAGGTTCATTTGTTCACATATTGTTCATGGCGACTTTCCCACTATAATGGCATTTAAGTAGCTGCAGCAGAGACTGTATGGCCCATAAAGCTAAACACATTTATTGTTCAACGCTTTACAGAGAAAGTTTGCCAACCCTTGCCCTATCCAGGCAAAATTTCCCAACTTCATGGACCTTACATTGTAGTGAAAATCTAATTCTGACTAATAGATGTGTTCTTATTCAAATCTGTCTTTTACAGCTTCTTGAAAAGTATTTATGTAACACAAACCTTATGAAACTCTTGGTGAAAACCTTATGTGAGCCCTCGAGCATAGGTTTCAATATCAGTGATGTCCACATTATGAATCACCTTCCTGATGTTTGTGTGAACCTGATGAAAGCACTAAAGAAGTCTCCATACAAAGACATTCTAGAGAGGAACCTCAAGGAAAAAATAACAGCACAGAGGTGGGCATTCAGGTCATGCTCAGGGTCAGGGTTGGGAGTTTAAGGTTGCACCTGCTGTGGAGCCGTGTGGGCATTCGGATCATGCTCAGGGTCAGGGTTGTGGAGGACTTAAAGATTGCACCATGCTCTGGAGCTGTGTGCCGGTCCGCCCTAGCTCCTTTTCTTCAAGTGAGGAATCTCATCAATGGGGTATTGGGTGCAGAGGATCGCATCAGTTGTTTGAAAATCATCTGTTTAGCAAATCCCTTCCCTGCCCCGTGAACGCAAGCCTTGCATGTGGCTTAGCCTTTGTTGATTTCCGTGGCTGGCTTAGTGCACGGGCCCCTGGGTTTGTGTTAGCCATGTTTGTTTTCCAGGGCTGCGTAAGCTATTTGAGTGCTGGGTATTTAGTTAGTAATACATTCATAACAGAATGCACACATTTTTCAGTATATTCTCATAATTTAATGAGATCGGCACTCATGTCGTTTTCTTTTTGCTTTTCTCCTGTGGCCAGCTTTGAGGAGCTCTGTGGCATTGACCTGTATGGCCCTGATGCTTACGTGGACAGGGCCAAGTTGTCTTCTTTCGTGTCAGCTTGTAAACATCTTCATCGAGCTGGGGTTTTGCATGATGTATTGCCATCTCAGGTAACTACATTTTGTTTTTACATGTTTCGTAGCTTCAATGAGCTAACTAGTCGATTTATTTATATTCTTTTTTGAACATTTTTTATGGGTGCTGAAATGGGAATTATAGAAATACTTGCTTCCAGACATGTAGGTGTTACCAGGAATATAAATATAAAAGTAAATATAAAAATTAATGTCAAATGAAAGTAGAACAAAGTCTATTTGAGTACTTCCAGCCACCTTCTGAAGAACTTTAGGGACTAACTGCTACTGTGCCTTGGTGGCTGGGCAGCGGCAGTGAAAAACAGCGTAGAAAGCAAAGTTGAGTGAAACATTTCCTTACAGGTGGAAGGCAGTTGTCAGTGTTAGCTAACATGGAATTTTTAATTAACAAAAGGTGTGAAATTGTGTGTTTTTAATACTTTATTGTTGATTTTATTTTAGTCTATAGATCAGCATCATTATATTGGCACAAAGCTTCTTTCCCTGGTTTATAAAAGCATCGCTCCTGGACACGAACGACAGTGCCTCCCTTCACTTGACCCCAGCTGTAAGCGATTGGCCAGTGGACTTCTGGAGTTGGCCTTTGCTTTTGGAGGATTGGTAGGAAAAACAGCCACATGCTATGCTATCCTAATAATGTGACTATGTAACTCACATGCATTGTGTCTTTAAAAACAGTAATTTATTGGATAAGTTCTTAGCTGCACAAGTACTTGAATTAATTTACATGAGCTGACTTTCTAGAAGGTTTTTGGTGTTGTTTTTTAATGAAAGAAATAGAACAGCATTCTTTCAAATTAAGGTTTTGTCTCTCGCTCTTCATTCCCAGAAGGACTTTAGGCAGAGAACATTTTGTGAATATACAGCTGCACTGTGTTGGCACAGTGACCCCTCCTTCCCCTCTCCTTGGTAATTCTTCACGGGGCTGATTTGGGAGAACCCCTGAAGGATAACTGAGTCACCACACAAAAATGTCTTCATTCTATTGAAACTGCAGGCTGGCCTCAGCCTCTGCTGCAGAGGAGACCTGCAGCCAGTTCTGGGCATCCACTCACTGCCTGTCTTTCTCCTGCAGTAGAAGCCTCTGCTCCTGTGGGCATTCGGGTCATGCTCAGGGTCAGGGTTGGGAGTTTAAGGTTGCACCGTGCTGTGGAGCCGTGTGGGCATTCGGGTCATGCTCAGGGTCAGGGTTGGGAGTTTAAGGTTGCACCGTGCTGTGGAGCCGTGTGGGCATTCGGGTCATGCTCAGGGTCAGGGTTGGGAGTTTAAGGTTGCACCGTGCTGTGGAGCCGTGTGGGCATTCGGGTCATGCTCAGGGTCAGGGTTGGGAGTTTAAGGTTGCACCGTGCTGTGGAGCCGTGTGGGCATTCGGGTCATGCTCAGGGTCAGGGTTGGGAGTTTAAGGTTGCACCGTGCTGTGGAGCCGTGTGGGCATTCGGGTCATGCTCAGGGTCAGGGTTGGGAGTTTAAGGTTGCACCGTGCTGTGGAGCCGTGTGGGCATTCGGGTCATGCTCAGGGTCAGGGTTGGGAGTTTAAGGTTGCACCGTGCTGTGGAGCCGTGTGGGCATTCGGGTCATGCTCAGGGTCAGGGTTGGGAGTTTAAGGTTGCACCGTGCTGTGGAGCCGTGTGGGCATTCGGGTCATGCTCAGGGTCAGGGTTGGGAGTTTAAGGTTGCACCGTGCTGTGGAGCCGTGTGGGCATTCGGGTCATGCTCAGGGTCAGGGTTGGGAGTTTAAGGTTGCACCGTGCTGTGGAGCCGTGTGGGCATTCGGGTCATGCTCAGGGTCAGGGTTGGGAGTTTAAGGTTGCACCGTGCTGTGGAGCCGTGTGGGCATTCGGGTCATGCTCAGGGTCAGGGTTGGGAGTTTAAGGTTGCACCGTGCTGTGGAGCCGTGTGGGCATTCGGGTCATGCTCAGGGTCAGGGTTGGGAGTTTAAGGTTGCACCGTGCTGTGGAGCCGTGTGGGCATTCGGGTCATGCTCAGGGTCAGGGTTGGGAGTTTAAGGTTGCACCTGCTGTGGAGCCGTGTGGGCATTCGGATCATGCTCAGGGTCAGGGTTGTGGAGGACTTAAAGATTGCACCATGCTCTGGAGCTGTGTGCCGGTCCGCCCTAGCTCCTTTTCTTCAAGTGAGGAATCTCATCAATGGGGTATTGGGTGCAGAGGATCGCATCAGTTGTTTGAAAATCATCTATTTAGCAAATGCCTTCCCTGCCCCTTGGAACGCAAGCCTTGCATGTGGCTTAGCCTTTGCTGATTTCCGTGGCTGGCTTAGTGCACGGGCCCTTGGGTTTGTGTTAGCCATGTTTGTTTTCCAGGGCTGCGTAAGCTGTTTGAGGGCTGGGTATTTAGTTAGTAATGCATTCATAATAGAATGCACACATTTTTCAGTATATCCTCATAATTTAATGAGATCAGCACTCACGCCGTTTTCTTATTGCTTTTCTCCTGTGGCCAGCTTTGAGGAGCTCTGTGGCATTGACCTGTATGGCCCTGATGCTTACGTGGACAGGGCCAAGTTGTCTTCTTTCGTATCAGCTTGTAAACATCTTCATCGAGCTGGGGTTTTGCATGATGTATTGCCATCTCAGGTAACCACATTTTGTTTTTACATGTTTCGTAGCTTCAATGAGCTAACTAGTCGATTTATTTATATTCTTTTTTGAACATTTTTTATGGGTGCTGAAATGGGAATTATAGAAATACTTGCTTCCAGACATGTAGGTGTTACCAGGAATATAAATATAAAAGATATTATAAAAATTAATGTCAAATGAAAGTAGAACAAAGTCTATTTGAGTACTTCCAGCCACCTTCTGAAGAACTTTAGGGACTTGCTACTGTGATACTTGCTTCCAGACATGTAGGTGTTACCAGGAATATAAATATAAAAGTAAATATAAAAATTAATGTCAAATGAAAGTAGAACAAAGTCTATTTGAGTACTTCCAGCCACCTTCTGAAGAACTTTAGGGACTAACTGCTACTGTGCCTTGGTGGCTGGGCAGCGGCAGTGAAAAACAGCGTAGAAAGCAAAGTTGAGTGAAACATTTCCTTACAGGTGGAAGGCAGTTGTCAGTGTTAGCTAACATGGAATTTTTAATTAACAAAAGGTGTGAAATTGTGTGTTTTTAATACTTTATTGTTGATTTTATTTTAGTCTATAGATCAGCATCATTATATTGGCACAAAGCTTCTTTCCCTGGTTTATAAAAGCATCGCTCCTGGACACGAACGACAGTGCCTCCCTTCACTTGACCCCAGCTGTAAGCGATTGGCCAGTGGACTTCTGGAGTTGGCCTTTGCTTTTGGAGGATTGGTAGGAAAAACAGCCACATGCTATGCTATCCTAATAATGTGACTATGTAACTCACATGCATTGTGTCTTTAAAAACAGTAATTTATTGGATAAGTTCTTAGCTGCACAAGTACTTGAATTAATTTACATGAGCTGACTTTCTAGAAGGTTTTTGGTGTTTTTTTTTTTTAATGAAAGAAATAGAACAGCATTCTTTCAAATTAAGGTTTTGTCTCTCGCTCTTCATTCCCAGAAGGACTTTAGGCAGAGAACATTTTGTGAATATACAGCTGCACTGTGTTGGCACAGTGACCCCTCCTTCCCCTCTCCTTGGTAATTCTTCACGGGGCTGATTTGGGAGAACCCCTGAAGGATAACTGAGTCACCACACAAAAATGTCTTCATTCTATTGAAACTGCAGGCTGGCCTCAGCCTCTGCTGCAGAGGAGACCTGCAGCCAGTTCTGGGCATCCACTCACTGCCTGTCTTTCTCCTGCAGTAGAAGCCTCTGCTCCTTTGTCTACTTCATGTAAACACATTACATGCTTTGTCTAAAAAGACTCCTTTACTAGACTCTCCCCTCAAAGCAACAGTAAGATGTCTAGAAATTTGGGAGAAACATGAGTCAGGGAAGATCTCTTTCCCAAATTGAAACTTAGAAATTGGAGACTCATTGAAATGTATCTAATTTAAATTTGAACCCTGGCCTTTAAATACCAGGCTCTTGTGCGATTTTCCACTTTCAAAGTTATTAGCTACCCAAGGAGTCTTTCTTTAACATTTAAGACGTGTATTGCTGTCACCGCCCTTCCCTTATCTTCTCAGTGTGAGTGCCTGGTGAGGCTTCTCCTGGACACAGCAGAGCTGTCCATGCCGGCCTCAGGAGGGTCCCAGAGGAACATCGTCAGCTTCTACCACGGAGAGTATTTCTACAGCTTGTTCTCAGACACCGTCAACACTGAATTGTTGAAAAATCTAGATCTTGCCGTACTGGAGTGTACCAACAGCAGAATAATACCAAGCACCCGAGGAAGGGGATTCTAAAAGGGACAGGCAAGGAACAAGACACTTGAAGCAGAGACTATTCAGTGAGATGGAAATGTAAAAAGAAAAAAAAAACGTCAGAAAGATGAGAGAAGATAGTGTATCCATGGAATAAGACTTGCCGCTGAAAAGAAACATCAGAGAACAAACGAAATTGGGGAGAATTAAGCATAAGCATCAGAAATTAAAAACAAAATGGGGCTGGAAGATAAAATTCAGGGACTCTCACAAAGAGTAGAGGAAAAAAGACAAAACAGCTATTCAGTGAGATGGAAATGTAAAAAGAAAAAAAAAATGTCAGAAAGATGAGAGAAGATAGTGTATCCATGGAACAAGACTTGCTGCTGAAAAGAAACATCTGAGAACAAACGAAATTGGGGAGAATTAAGCATAAGCATTAGAAATTAAAAACAAAATGTGGCTGGAAGATAAAATTCAGGGACTTTCACAAAGAGTAGAGGAAAAAAGACAAAACAATAAACAGGAGAGAAAGATGAGGAAACTTGGGATCAATGTACAAGGTCTAGTAGCAGGGCCTCTGCCTCAGAGGGAAGACAGACTTGCACAGCTGAAGAGAATTTCCCAGAAATGAAGACCTTGAGTGTCCAGATGGAACAAGGCCATTGAGTGTCCAGCACAGTGTGTGAGAACAGCTGTATATTTCTGGAAGTTCAGCACCCTGGGGTTTCACTGTTAGGAACGATCCCGACAAGCGACGATGGGAGAAAGCCTGATTACATTAAAAGGATCAAGAAATTGGGTTGCTTTTATCTCTGTAGCAGCAAAGTGGACGCTGGAAGACTGTGCCAAATTTCCCTCACAGTTCAGGAAAGAAGATTCCCAACATGGAGTTCTGAATCCGCCGGATGGTCAGTTATGTGTGAAGGTCAAGTGCACGTCTCAGGTGTGCCGTTTCTCAAAGGAAAGTAGTTTCTGTGCGCTTCTCTCAGGAGCTGCTGGAGAGGACTTCACTAAGCAAGGCAATCAGCCAAGAAAGAGGATGATGCTGGATCAGGGAAGTTCACGGGCCTCGCAGAGGGTCTCCTAGTGAGACCCAGAGGGCAGTGTTCACCAGCATTTCCAGAGTGAGCGCCGGCTCCCCAGAGGTGGAGCTGATGGACTTCTTGATACGTTTAACTGTCTTGTGGAGATTAAATTGAGAGAATTTGATGACGAATAATGGTAGGCACATGGAAAACAGCAAAGAAAGTAAACAAGTATTAACTTCAGTGACATCAAAATGTGCAAGAAAGGAAAAGTATTGGTAGTATATGACTTGGATCATTTGTGAAAATATTTACATTGTCGTATATACTCTAATATTTTCCCAGCCAAATAGAAAACACTGCTGAAAAGGTGATGGGAAAGGAAATGTGTGCGTGCAATCCTGTGTGCATGTGTACTCATGTGCAGGAGTGTGGATGGGAGTGTACACGTGCACGTGTGGTGGTGATGGTGACAGAAGAAAGCTACTCCTCTGCCCATCGAGAATGCCCCTAAGACATAGGAAATAGCAGTGTGAACATGATTTCATAAATGAGACACCTTATACTTTTATGGGAAAATTTATATGTTAAAGCCCTGTTCTCAAATTTGAAGAGAAGTGAACAGCTATTATAAAATTAACATCTTTATTTCCCCAGAATAGCTTTGAAATGAAAGTAAATTTTGTTGTATATGTCGGTCTTAATGTTTTAAGAATTTGTCTTCAATCACCACACAATTGTTTTAGGTGAGCACCGTTTTGAATGGAATGTTAGACCAGAGCTTCAGGGATCGGGCCAGTCAGAAAGACCAAGGACTGAAACTTGTGACTGTAATTCTGCAAAACTGGAAGAAGTGTGATTTGTGGTGGGCCAAAGATTCTGCTCCTGAAAGTAAAATGGCAGTGCTGACCTTACTGGCAAAAATTCTGCAGGTATTTTGAGAGACCTTAAAAATACAATTGTGTTTGTTGTTTTGGACTCCAATTTGTATTTTTAAAAATGTGATGGAGGTTTGATAAATAAAAAGTGTTTTAACTGGACAATTGATAAATAGCTTACTCGTTACACTTCTATTATTTTACTTCATTATCATTTCTTATACTTTATGTTTTTAGTGTACCTTTCCATGCATTGTCTTATCAGATAGTTTTAAAGTATTTTAGAACAAGAATTGCTGACATATTATTGAAGCCCAGGAACAAATTTATAGGTCATTTCTGAAATTAAAACATTCAAAAACTGTGTTCAGGAAATTGGAGACATGATATAGTAATGTATCATGTTTTTATTTCCTCTCCTTTAGATTGATTCATCGGTGTCTTTTAATACAAGTCACAGTGCATTCCCTGAAGTCTTTACAACATATACTAGTATACTTGCTGATTCAAAGTTGGGTCTACATTTAAAGGTAAGTAGTAAAGGGGAAAAAGGGGGATATATGTAATACTTTCAACAATAAAAAATTTAAAAAGTAAGTAGTAAAAAGATGTTTCTTCAGATTACATTCTTCATTATTTTTCCATTTGTGCTTATTTATGTTTACTATGTTTTATAATGAAAAAATTTTAAACATTCAAAAGCCAAGACGCTAGCACAGGGGTCCTCAAACTTTTTAAACAGGGGGCCAGTTCACTGTCCCTCAGACCGTTGGAGGGCCGGACTATAGTTTAAAAAAAAACTATGAACAAATTCCTATGCACACTGCACATATCTTATTTTGAAGTAAAAAAACAAAATGGGAACAAATACAATATTTGTATTTGCATGTGGCCCGCGGGCCGTAGTTTGAGGACCCCTGGGCTAGCACAATAATCCCCCATGTACTTATTATCCAACCTCAATAGCCATCTGTCTGTGGGCTTGCTTGTTTCAACTGCACAGTCACTCCTACCCATCACCTTGAAGGAACCCCCTGGCGTCATGTTATCTGATCTCCAAAAAGATAAGTTTAACCAGAAAAAAATTACCATACTTAGAAGAATTAACATTTGTCTTTGCATGTAGATGATGCAAATGGGCTTTTCTGAGAATTGCTGTATTAATTAATGAATGACAGAATTTATCGTTAATCATTTTTCTATTAATACATTGTGGATGGATCACGAGAATTCTTGTGTTTTTTGTTCTAAGGCTTGTGGCCAATCACGGGAATTCTTTAAAAAGATTTTAGCTTGTAAGAACATGTGATAAATAACTTCAAAATGCAATGGGTATTTAATTTTAAAGCATGCCTTTAACATTTATGTAAAATGTTTTTTGTACTTGTTCAATAGAAGCTTATCTGGCCACTGGGTAAGCTAGCAATAAAACTACTGGTCCGCAATGTGTTAAGTAATATAAAATATCTTGGTAATTTTTAGTGTCAAGAACATATTTTAATTTTAAAGTTCTTTAATAATTATATTTTGCACTCTAATAAAATGTGGCCTTAATGAAAACCATCTTTTTTTTTTCCTTTTTGAAAATCTTTTCTTTTTTTTATTGGATCATGAAGATTTCCTTGGAATATTCCTGTCTATGTGATTAATCAAGTTTCTCATTTCTCAGTAGGAGAGAATCTGCGAACTTACCTTCATACAAGGGATGTAGGAAACACATCCTAGTTTCTTTGAAGCTTGGTATGAAGTTTGGAGTGAGTTCTGCAAGGACTACTTGTAAATTACCCCATAGGTTATTCAAGATGTTCATTCCACTAAAAATTTATCTAGTATATTTCTATTGGAGTCTATATTTTTAGGAGAAATAACATATAGAATCATCATACAATGTCCTTTTTATTTGCATGTATATAGCCCTGAGTTGGCTCACTCCCTCTAGAGTAGAAGCCATGATACAGCATTGCGTTCAGGTTGTTTTTTTTGTGTAATCTAGAAGGTATTCTGAAGTCTTTTTTTGAATCTATATAACATTTTATTTGCAAACTCTTTAGAAGCAGTAATTTTATTTATTCTGTAGAATCTGTAAGCCACGACTAGTGCAATTTCGTATCTGCATTGCTCCACAGGGCCAAGCTATAATTCTTCTTCCATTCTTCACCAATCTTACTGGAGGCAGTCTTGAGAACCTTAAGCATGTTCTTGAAAAGATCATCATTTCTAATTTCCCTATGAAGTCTGAAGAATTTGCCCCAGGAACTCTGCAGTACAATAATTATGTGGACTTCATGAAAAAGGTTAGTTTTTAATAGCACCAAGTAAAATGAAAACATTAATTTTTATTTGTTTTTTTTTCTATTACATTTTGTGATGAAGAAAAGTAAGAGAAATATTCAGAATTAGAAAAGTGTTCTAACTTTAAGAATCCAATTTAATTCATTTTGAAAGCTGGGTAACTGTGGAGGCAGATGCATATCTAAATCCTTTGGAATTCATTTCTTCCCTAATTTTAAATTGTGAAATATTTTATGTGGCTTTTCCATTGAAAGGCAAAGTCTGAGTTTCCTCCCATTGTGGATGGGTTGGCCTTAAAGACTCAACAAAAGAATGCAGTGGAAGTAATGCTGTGTGACTTCCAACACTACTTCCTGGGACCCTTCTTTGTGGGACCCAGTCTCCATTGTGTAAGGAAGCCAAGTAGCCTCATGGAAAGACCAGTGTACAAATACCACCACCCACATAGATTCTCTCTTCCCCATTCTTTTTATATACTGTTTTCCAAGCATACAGAAAAATGGAAAGAATAGTGAAACAAGCCATTCATATTACCATCTTCTATATTGAATAGTTAGCATTCTGTCATATTTGCTTTGTTTTGTTGAGAGAGAGAGAGAGAGAGAGAGAGAGAGAGAGAGTGTGTGTGTGTGTGTGTGTGTGTGTGTGTGTGTGTGTGTGTGTTTCGGCTGAAACATTTGCAGGTTGGTTTCAGACATCATGATACTTCATTCCTAAATACTTCAGCATGCATGTCCTATGAATAAGCCACAATACTGTTATCATACCTAAGCAAATTCACGCTCCTCTAATATCATGTGTTATGTAGTCCATATTCACATTTCTTTAGATGCCCCATGTTGAGCTGTGTTTTTTCAAACTGGGACCTAATTAATGCTTGCATTGAATTGTCATGTCTCTCATATCATTTAATCTAGAACTACTTCACCCAATTTTTTAAATTTTTCATGACATTGAATTTTTGGAAGAAACCAGCGTACTACTCTTGGATGTTGGCCCATCTTTGTTTTATTGTTTCCTTGGGGTGTTCTTTAACTTGTCCCTAATCCTCTGCATTTCCTCTAAACTGGAGTGAGACCTAAAGATTGGTCATGAGATTCAGGCTAATCGTTTTGGCAACAGTAGCACATCAGGAGGCCAATCGCGTCACTGTCCCATTGTTAGTTGCCTCAAGTCTTGTGGCCTGGTTAAGGTGGTGACTGCCTCAGTTCTCTATTGAACACAAGGTAAAATTGAGTATATCCCTTAGAAAGAAGAACAAATAGACATTGAGATGGAAGTTGGGAGAGTAAAGAGCAGAATGTTATATGAGCAGCCTAGACATCTGTAAACGTAAGATGGTGTTGAAAGACAAACATCTCCAGAATAAAAGACTTCACACCACAGAGTACCTAGAATGGTGAAGGGAAATAACCTCAGTGAAGGCCCATAATTACGGAATTTTAGAACCTGAGGATAAAGAGAAAATCCTAAAAGTTGTTAGAGGGAAAAATGTCTGCAAAACCCCCAAATCAAAACTCAAACATTTAACAAAATTATTTTATGTGTAACATTTATTATATCTGCAAAAATGACTAAAATATTAGTGTTTCTTTTTTTTTAATATATATTTCTTTATTGATTTCAGAGAGGAAGGGAGAAGGAGAGAGAGATAGAAACATCAATGATGAGAGAGAATCATTGATAGGCTGCCTCCTGCAC